CGAAACTGTCCGACGGCTGAGCTTCAACTGATTCGGCCTGGCCAGCTCAGAGCCCCACAAGTCCCACAAGGTTTCCCCCCAGAAGCGGGAGCCCGAAGCTCTTCCAGTCTGTCGGCTGCCGAAGCGGTCGCGACCACCTGCCGAACGCCTACTAACGGGATACCAGAAAGCCGAGCATTCCTTCGGCAACAAACGGAGTCCTTACGAGCCCCCACAGCCGGCTGAATAAAGAGAAAGCTTCATTTTATCCTTTTAGCCTTGGAGCTGAGACTCTCATCGGAATTAGTGAATATTTGAAAATCAACAAAGATTATGCGAAACTTAAACATAAAGCCATTAGGTTTGGGAATTTTGAAAAGATAATATTTAAGTTAGTTTAGGAATAAATTTCAAAAATATTCAAAAATAATTGGAAGATATTTGGAAAATTTAATTAATAAAATATACGAGTATACTCTGAATCTTACATAATCAGGAGATATACATTTTAATATAAAAAATTATTCATTCAAGATTCAAAATAAGGTATATTTCCTATAAAATAATTCTTGGAACATAGTAGGAGTAGAGGAAGTAAAAAACAAAATTGTTTAAATTTTATTTTGATTTAAAAAACTAACAAGCACTCATTAGCTTTCATTCAGCTTAGGTATAAATATTTTGACTTTGCAATAAACTTATATTTTCTGATTGGATTTTATACCATAAACCTATTAAAAAAATAGATATATTACTTACTTAAAAATCAGTAAATTGTTAAGTTAAATAAGACTCACATATAATATAAAACCACTAACCATACAGCATATAGACAACCCATTTCATACAACGAAAATGGACGCGAAAATTTCTTGCTACAGGCCCCAGCAGGCCCCAGAGCGGATTTCTTACGCTCTCTTACGCTCATCGTTCGTTCATCTTACGCTCATTCTCGCATTAAATGTTTTCTGTTTCTCAGTCTCTAAACGGAGCGCGATGAAGAAGGTTGGCCTGCGCTTCGGTTGATCTTTGTATGTATGCGTGTCACACATTCACATACATGGGTGTATGTGTGCGTGCGATTTCGTTTCGAAGCCAGCGCACAAAATTTTGATTTTTCTTACTTTTAAGGCTTGCTACCCTAACAAAATTCGGGTATTCGTTATTTGATGAAATGACGAAAGAAATTATATTATTTTGTATATTATATTTTTTATTATTTCAGCATACATTTTTAATTTATTTAGGAATAAGATTAAGTGTTAGTAGTAAAATGTTTTCTGTATATATATTTTTACGAATCATTAAAAATCAATATACTGAGAAAGTGTCAGAGTATATTTCGGTCGGAGTCACTTAAAGCGCCGTTTGCTTTTAAGTTTTTGTTGTTCTGCAAGAGGCTTGTGCATGCCTACTCTAACGATGGAATGATTTTTGGGAGGGTGAAGACGGGTGAAGAATTAAATTACTTTTTAAAGTTATTATATATAAGGAAATATATATAAGGAAATTATTAAATTAACGACAATAATTTAATTAAATCTCACAATAACCCAAAATATAATAACAAGTGCCTGAAAAATTGTAAACAAAAAGGTAAACAAGTCCATCAGCTGTTTTCGTGTCTTCACCCTCCCCTAAAAATCATTCCATCGTTAGAGTAGGCATGCACAAGCCTCTTGCAGAACAACAAAAACTTAAAAGCAATCGGCGCTTTAAGTGACTCCGACCGAAATATACTCTGACACTTTCTCAGTATATTGATTTTTAATGATTCGTAAAAATATATATACAGAAAACATTTTACTACTAACACTTAATCTTATTCCTAAATAAATTAAAAATGTATGCTGAAATAATAAAAAAAATAAAATAAAAATAATATAATTTCTTTCGTCATTTCATCAAATAACGAATACCCGAATTTTGTTAGGGTAGCAGCCTTAAAAGTAAGAAAAATCAAAATTTTGTGCGCTGGCTTCGAAACGAAATCGCACGCACACATACACCCATGTATGTGAATGTGTGACACGCATACATACAAAGATCAACCGAAGCGCAGGCCAACCTTCTTCATCGCGCTCCGTTTAGAGACTGAGAAACAGAAAACATTTATTGCGAGAATGAGCGTAAGATGAACGAACGATGAGCGTAAGAGAGCGTAAGAATCTCGCAGAAATTTTCGCGTCCATTTTCGTTGTATGAAATGGGTTGTCTATATGCTGTATGGTTAGTGATAAAACTTAAGAGCAAAATACCTATTGAAAAGATATCTCTTATAAACACTTTTTGGTATAAATGGTTTTAGCCAAGACTTAAACCTTTGCGTAAGATGATAGGGGTGTAAAAAGATATTTTTACATGGAAATCCATACAAAAAAAATCTGAATTTATATATTTTTTAGATAAATATTTAATGTATGAAGTTGCATATATTTGAATGATACCATAGAAAATTAATATTTTAAGATAACAGCACCTAAAAAATAATTGGTTTGTTATTACAAGAAAAATTCGCAGTTTAAATAACAAGTTATTAGAAGGATAATGTCATATAATAAACCATTCTCTAATTAGTTGATTGACTTATACAAAATAATATTTATAAAATGGCAAAATTAATTATTGATACATCACCGACATCAATCCTATGCTAATTAATGTAAAATAATTTATCCTCCAATTACTCCAACCCATAACTAATTAATGTAATACAATTTGTATGCTAATTAAAAAAAAGCTTGATTTAGCTTACCTCCCATTCCCAATAAAAAGAATCCTGTGACTCAAACATCGTTTCCACCATGCGGCAATCACTCAAAGTAAAAATTGTCATCAACCTCCTGGCAGCTCATAGAGGCAGCTTAAAAAATGGCAGCCAGCGAAAAGGGCAGACCGGGATAGTGAAACCCGAAAACGAATTGCAGCAAAATGCTCAAACACACTCTACGAAATTGACTTAAATAAATAAATGGCATAAAAACAAAGACAAAACACATGCACAGCAAGAAAGTGAATGACCGGGCTGGGGACAGGAGGCAGTGGTGGAGCTTTCGGTAGACAGCGTGTCATAGAAACAAAGTGCATTCCCTTGAGCAGAAGACGAAACTTTACGGGGCTTTGTCAGCGTGTTCCTTGTTAGCTTGTTGCAACATTTTCATTTCATTTTATTCAGTCAATGCAATGCAACATTCGAATGCAACAACTGCTCAAGCAGTAGTGGAAGTGGCAACAAGGACAGCGTTTAGTAGCTCATCCATTTTCATTTGTATTAAGCAAAAGGCAAAAGACAGTTGCCGTGGCATGTCCTTTACCAAAAAAAACAAATAACCTCCCTAGCCCTAGCCGAAAAGTCCTTCGCATTTCTACCCGCGTAAAATAAAAGCGTTGGCATTACTCAGCAAATACTTTTGTTGTTGTCGTGTTTGTTAGCTGCCTTGACAAAAAAAAAACAGTCTATACCCCTCACCAGCATCAGATCCTTACCAGCAACCCAGCAACCATCCCTGGGGCTGCTCGTTAGCACAGATGCCAAGAGAATTTATCTTACTCCTACGAATGCAACTCGATTTTATTTTATTTCATTTTATTTTTCGTTTGCCCCCATTGTTTCTGGTTCTGTTTCTGTTTGGCATATTGGACATATTGTTAGCCCCACTGTGATCGATGCAAATTGATGCGTATTGTTAATGGAATTTCTTTTGTGCGGCATTGAGAACATGGCGGCATGGCAGCATGTCGCACGAAAGTATGCAACACAAATTGGGCGGAAAACAAACGCTTCGTTCGGAAAAGTTAATAATGCTAATGACTGTTTTTCAAAAGATCAAATGTAACTATTTTTTTGTGAATTATTTTATGAGATTTAAAGATTTTAAAACATAGCCTTAAATATATATTTTAGTTTCAGGACCTCTCTTGAAACTTTAAATCTTTCTCTTTTTCACCTTTCCTTAAAAAAAAAAATAAAAAAAAAAGCAAGAAAGAAGGCCCAAAGCAACCGGGAGAGGAAAAAATGTCATAAATAAGAACGTTTGCAATTTGTTTATATTAAAATGGAGAGTCAAAAAGCAACCTTAGGCAGAGGGCGGCAACCGGGGACCTCCTTGTTGTATCCTGTGCACAGATTCCCATTGCATTTGGCTCTGCCAGCTACAACCACCACCCACTCCCGTCCCCATCGGTTTGCCTGTATCGCCTGCTGTTTTGTGAATTATGCGCCTTCCGTTGCATGTGGCGGCATTTCCCAGCCCCAGAACCAGATCCTACACTATGATAGATTATATTTTTGAAAGATTTCAACATAAATAAAATTAAACTAATAAATCGGAATGTAGTTTTATAAGAATGGGTCTTTAAAAGGGTTTTTTAATCCAATTCCTATAGCTTATCATTAAACCAGAAGCCTTTTAGCCTCTTATTTCAGTGTAACTGCTGCCTTTTCCAAGGCCCAAGCCCAAATAATGGCTTGACGCGCCTGGCTGCATATTTTTGAAGTCACTGTAGCTGCGGAATGCAGAAGCTAGTCTGGGTGATGGTGGAGGAGGAGGCGAGCTAGTCCACCGACTACTAACTGCGCTCGTTTTTGTAATAAAAATGTCATAAATCTTGATTTCTTGAACTCTAAACCGAAAAGCGTGCGATAGCGACGCAGGACATCGTCCTGGCCTCCTCTCACATTGTCTACCAGGTCCTCCCTGCCCAGCCCTGCCCCCCACTGGTATCCCGGGTGTGGGTGTGCAATATAACTGTCTATTTATGCTCGCCTTGCATATGAAGTACATTTTATTTGTTTTTATTTATTTGCACTCGCTGGCAATGCTTTGTGCAGGTCCTTGTCTGCCTCTAAGGAGGATGTGCTGAGATAATTGATTTATTTGACGGGTTTAAGTGAGTAGGTGTGCTTGTAAAGCGCACAAAAAATTTAAGATAAATCTACCTCAGAGATTTCTTCTTCATGGAGCTTAAGTCCCAACTCAGGCAGATATCAACTTTTACAAAATAATTAAAAATCTTCAAAATTTGTTCTTCTAGTCATCGTTTTTTTATCCTAATCGTTTTTAAACATTGTCATCGACTTAAAACTAAACTTACAACAATTTTACATATTTTCGCTTTTATCTTATGATTTACAGACACTGGCATTGAATTCATATTACAAATATTACAAATAATAAATTACTAATTATCTTAAACATTCGATTTTGTTGTCATAACTCCTGATCCTGGTTTCATCATCTTTATGCATTTTTCTGGGTACGTGTGGCAGGATTGTCTTATCACAAATGAACATCACTAAGAACATTATTATTTCTCTTTCTTTTTAAGCTTATGCCTTTAAAATAATTTAATTAGGATTAGGATTAAAGTTAACAATTTCTCATTCGATCGCCAAGGTCAATTACTAAAATGTTTGTATCCTACAATTTATGTTTCTGTTTAAATTAGGTGATTATCACAAATTGTTTTTGTCATTACGAGTTTTTTAAAAGTATTTCCAATTAGTCAAGTTTTTATTAAGCCCTAAAAAATGTTTGATTTTTATGGTTTGTCCAATGGCTGTCACCAGTGATCCATGTCACGTATACGCTCTACCGGAGGGTTACTGGAATGGAAGATGGAAAATATATTCATGACATATTTCTTTCGCAACTAATAGTAACTATAGATTATATTTAATCGAAAGTACTTACGGCAACATTCGCGCCAGAGCATGTTTGTGCAGCGGCGATATCTGAACTGCTGCCGAGGCGATACTGGATCCCGAGTCCTGGGACATGGTGCGCTGCATATGATGCATAGGATGCTGCACCACCGGCCCGCCAACGAACTGCAGTTGCTGCTGGTGGTGGTGCTGGTGGTGTTGATGGTGCTGCTGCAACGGATGCTGGTGCATCGGATGTGCCTGATGCTGTTGCTGTTGCTGCTGGGATCTGCGGAAGGGATAGCGCCAAGGACTCTTTGGAGCATCCGATTGGAAGGCCTTGTTTTCGACACCACCACTGGTGGACACTCCAGCCGGGCTGTCTCTTCTTGGGGCAGCATTGGACTGCATGTCGCGAGCTTTCGAGCTGAGGCGTCGCAGGATACGCGACCCTAGACCAGGCGGGTCCTCCAGGCTACGACTATTTCGCGGTTTGCGGTAGCGCACATCACTGGACTCCTCCAGGATCACATGGCGATCATAGGGAGTGCCGTAATAAACCTCCAGCACAGTGGAGAAGGTGTGCGGCCAGACCAGGTCGATGATGGAGATGAGAACCCCCGCTATGAAGCAGAGGATTCCTAAAAGAGTTCCATATATTACTATTTTCAAAAACTACTTCCGTGTTCGTTACAAGCAGTGGCTTGGCCACCCAACTTACCTGCTACCAACACCAGCCAGTAACACCAGCCGAAATGAAACTCCAGACGTCCGCCCTCGAGGTAAATGCAGAGAGGCCGCTTTGGAAGCAGGCAGTGGTAGCCAATGGTGGTGCAGACCAGCAGGGCTCCGGTTAGGGCCTTCATGTAGGCACCGTAACGCGGAACAGCAATTAGCAGCAGATTCATCAGCAGCCACGAGGCGAGCGAGGCCCACAACATAATGCTGGCAAAATAGCCGGCAGCCCGGTACTGTCCGCCCCAGGAGAAGCCCTCGCGACCTAAGCTGAAGTACTCGGCCACCGTGAGGATGGGAAAGGGTAATCCGCGCTGCAGGGCATGACGGTAGTTGGCACTCATGTCGTTGGCCCCCTCCCAGGTGAACCGCTCATTGTAGTCGATATCAGGTGGTGTCCAGTTACCAATAGGTATGGCTACAAAAAGATAAGTGTATTTTTGAGTATTTTATGAAATTAAATTAAAGACGAGTGTGTGTCACAGACCTAGTTACACAACCATTAAGCTAGGGCAACTGTAAATAAAAAAAATCCCCACTCATCGGGCCACTCAGACACATTCACTTGACAACCACTTTACAGTGTAAACGTGGCTCAAAATCAAGTTAGACCCCGGCCATTTGACAGGCCAGAACCTTTCATTCCCCCAGCTGACAAATGGCAGCTGGCAACACCTTCGAATCGCACTCCATCGCATAACCTTCACAGCAATTACAGGCAAAAAAAAACGAGCCAAACATAGAAATTCAAAATATCATTTCCTGCTGCAGCCGGAAACGTTTGTTGCACCCAGTGGGGACCACGTTGCGTATGCGTAATGCCGCTCCTCTCATCGAGCAATTCATTGTCAATGGTTGAAACAAGCTAACCTTACACAAGCACTCTCAAGTGAATGGCTTAAAAGTGCACCAGCAAAAACAACAACAATCGTAATGTGCAACAAGTAACATTTTTTTTTTTCAGTTTGCATATTTGATTCACATTCGTCAATGATTTTTCCGGTTTACAGCACACGCGCTTTTGGCCCGTTTTGCATTTGGCTTATATATTTTTTTGGTGTTATTTGTTATTGTATTCCTCAACGAGTTAAAGAGGCGAGAGAGAGACAAAAAGTTCGAGCAAATAAGCAAAAAATTTGCATAATTTATAGACAACTTTGCACACCTCTCGAGCGGCCAAACAACTTAAGCGAAGTGATTCCGCGTTCGTTAAGTCCATTATAAAACACAACCACCAAGTGAACACCCTTAGATATAGAATCACATGACGCAGGGGGGTTATTAGAAACTAAATCTGACTAATGGGCACTTTTTGGGAATTTTGTGAATGGAAGAGAAACTCTATCGTTTCCTTTCCAAAATCCATAAAACAATAAAAGGAATGCAAATGAAACTCACTGCCCACTCTAATGTGGGCAGAACTTGCGTCTTTTAATTCTCAAAACATTTTAAAAATTTATGCAGAAATCATTAATCTTTTATTTTTAAGTTGCTCTGGCCAGTTAAAAGGGGTCTTCATCGTCAAGAATTGTGAAATGATATATGACTTGGATGGTTTGAAGTCGGAGGTGCTCGGGTTGCCATAGTGTCTGGCACAGAGTGACAAAATATGCAAAAAATTAAATTAAATATTTAAGAACTCATTTCTAAGCTCTAATAAAGATTGTGGAAAAAAACATTGGCGAATAAAACTATTAATAAATGAGATGATTATATAAATATTCATAAGTCTTGATCGGATTATTATTTTAACAGAAAAACAAAGTTAATCATGACTACTCTTTTGGAAAAAGCAACTATGCACTATTGGAAATATTTTCATATTTTATGGAGATTCCCACGCTGAGTCTTATTATTATATTTCAGTGACTCATAGGAGAAACGTAAGCCGGCAACCGACTCCAATGTGCCCAAAATTGGCTGCCGCCCGCCAAAGTAAGCTTACAAATTACAAACTCAGCGCCACAAACAAATAAAATGTACAAAAAAAATTACATAAATCGTCAAAAGTTGTCATATAATATATGCTTGGGGCTTGGCCTTCGACTCGGAACAAGGTTTCGGCCTGGCCTCTGGTTTTCAACCCCTCCCCAGCCCGAATAGAAACTGCACCGAAAATGGCAACCCCGACCTAAGCCAAGCCAAGTCTACGCACTGTCTACGCACATTGTGGATCGATTTTGGATTTTGGAGTCATTAAACTGACAATCGTTATGATTTCCCAGTTGGCGGTGACCGGATAGACTTGTTCGAGACCGGGGTCTTTCGTGAACGTGGAAATGCTGTAAGTCGAACCGGTTCAATTTTCGTTGACCATTTGAAATGGTAATCGCTGAGCTGTTTTGATTTAAACACTGTTTATGGCTGCAGCGATACAGATCTATCAAAGGGGGAAGTAACAACACTGAGATCGTAAAAAATTAACACAAAAACTGAAATGGGTGATTGAGTAAAAAGATACAAACTCAAGGAAATCTAATGCTTGTAGTGATCTCTTTAAAGTCTTGCTTAATTTTAATTAAAAAGTTTCAGAAACATTAAGAGTCTTGATTTGGCATTAGTCCGATTTCTTGCTCTTTAGAAACCAAGAACCATTAACCACTCGGCTCATTAATAACTTACAATACCCCATTGTTTATGGCACCCAGTATTAACTTCCGCAAACTTCAAACTTTTCCTAAAGAGCCAAGCGCTCTTTTATTGAAAATTAAAAGCAAAACCAACAAGAGCAACCTAAAGCTAAATAAAGAAAAAATTACCATATCGACGTATACGAAATTGATGTTTCCCTACTTGATACTTGAGGCGGATGACGATAATGTTGGATAGCTCGCGCTTAAGTATGGACACAAAAAAAAGCAACAGCAACAAGAAAACAAAAAAGATAAATAAATTTTAAGCATTTTTATGCCTTTTCATAATTTTAAGTGATGATTATGCTGATTTTCGTGTTTACTTTCAGTTGGCCAGAGGAGGAGGACGACGTGGTACGTTGTTTGGGGTAAAAACAATTTGCCAGCAGTAGCGGCGGCAGTTATTTAGAAAAAAAAAAAAAACCTAAATTAATCATGACTTTACAATAGACAGAGGCACACGACACACGACACAATACACCACAAAGACAATGAATGAGTTAAAATGTTTTTTTTTCTAAATTGTTGGCCATCACATCATCACTCGCCAAGTGTCGGCAGAACGAACGTTCCATTTCTGTCATTAGTTTTGAATAAAGCTCAAGTAGCCCATGTCCATCTCCATTAAATGATGGCCAGGGAAAAGCAATACAACATCCCAGATAGATAGGTACTTGAATTTAAAAAAAGAATTCTATAAAAATAGTTTCTTCGTTGGGGTCTATATTTGGAAAAGCATATGTGCCACACAAGGGTCATTGGCATTCAAGTTGATGGCTTTATGTCTTTCAGATGAAAAAGGCTAGAGGAATAAAAACCCTACAATATAGTAGACACAATTACGTGCAACACCTGGCAATTGAAGTCATAGGCCGCAAACAAGCCGACTAAACGCCGCAGGTAATTGAGCTTGCGGCACACACCCACGATAGACACAAATGATGGAAAAGCCGACACATTTTACATATAGCACAACCTATTCAAGAGTCGAATAAATGCCAGACCCAGACCGCAACGAAAAATGCAACACACAAATGGAAGTGCACCACAGTCATAATGATGTATAATTAAGTGCAACAAAAGTCACCGCAGATTGGCCCAAAAACTACAATAGCAAAAAGCCAAAAACAACAAAAAAATAAAAAAGAAGTCTTTATAAAAATCGGTAATCACCATTAAAAAAATATCATCATTATTGGGTTGTTACTCATATTTTTGTATACTTTTTTTGTTACAAATGAATACATGACATTTGGTTGACTTTGATTTGGCAATGTGAACTCCTTCAGACTCAATTGAAAATTTCAAAAAAAAAAAAACATCGCGATGAATAACGAGTGCAACAATTAAGTTGTCAAGCCGGACTAAGTCTGATCCAAAATACCACTCTCAGAAATTGACATGCGCTTGATAACCGTTTTAAAAAATCAAAAATTGTATCTAAAACAAGAAATACTCGTCGAGCAGCTGCTGTCAACTTGAGCCAACATTTGCCCTTTTATCCAACCATCCAACCAAACGCCCACAAAGCCCCAAATCTAACAATAGAGAATGAAAACACGTGAAACACTTTTGGCAAGCGTCACTCAATCGGCTTTGAGGGATTCGGAAGGTGGAGCAGGAGGTCTGGCCCTGGGAAATGCTACCGAAATAGCACTCTGTCGGTGGGGGAGACCCCGGATGTGGGCCCAGGATACCCCACAAATCGGTATTAGTCAAAACCAATATGGCAACCGACATAATGGCCACAGTCAAGAGCCAAACAGGCAACAGGGTAAATATATATTAATGCAGATATGTGTACTATCACTAAGAAAAATTATTACTAAGAGGTATAGGATTAGGTTAGATATTTCAAGTCTTAATCTTTACTTTTCAAGTTCTCTAAGCCTATACTTACAGCCTTTATAGCCCAGATTTTATTTCACAAAATAAACATTTTTGAAAATCCAATTACCCAGATGCCAGAGCAAAAGCCAAAGCCCAAGCACTAGACCCACTGACGCAACAAATATTTAGATTTCCGTATAGTAGAAATCGTTTGCCCTCAAAGGGCATCATAAAGTTTAATCTCCCAATATGGCAAACAAAAAATTATTGTTACTGGGCCAAACAAATCCAATCCGGCCCGGCACCGGCACTTGCAACACCGATTTTGTGACCCGAGGATGAGGCGGTATGATAGGATTGGATGGTTGCTTGGATTATTCGTGCTCGAGTTGACTTCAAACTGGCATTCCAATTGATTCAGCTGGGGTCTAAGGTAGCCTCAGATCAAACACAAAAGCATTTCACCTTTTCGATGAGCCAAGCCAGTCAGTGAGTGAGTGAAACGAGCCAAGAATCAAACAGGCAAATGAATATACATATGTTCGGATGGATATGTGTGCTTAGAGGCCTCCTCCTCCTCCTCAGCGAGCGCTTGCCATTGGAATCGAATATTTCCGCAGGTTTCGAGCTAAGCGCGAGTCGAGTGGCATTTCAATTTGTTGTTGCTTTGCTGCCTTTTGCCAGCGATGTTGCTTTTGTTGGCAAGAATCGTGACATGCAACTTGACTTGGCACTTGGCAGGAGCCAACAAACAAAGCAGCAACAGCAACAGCTCTAGCAGCTACCACCGCAGCTGACGTCACCGCCCACACTCGGTCTGATAACTCAAACAAAAGCGAACGGCCCGTGGAAATATCACAGAAGAGATCTGCCCCAAGTTTTGAAATCAATTAGCCGCCAGAAGCTCGGCTCCAGTCGAACCTTAAACCGCAACTGCTACCCAAAAATCGGCAATTTTAATTAAAATTTATATATGTATATGTACACACGAATCCATTTTTTTGTCTTATTTTTCGGATGAGCGATTAAAATCTTGAATGAAAATTACTCAATTGTTTTCGTTGACGTTCGAGCCAGTTTATCTCCCATCGAGTATTGCCTCGAAAAATGGGGACGTGGGGTTTTGGGATTTGGGGGGCACGACACAGCCACCAGTTTCATAAAAAATCGACGCTGATGAAAGGGGTTTTCAGTTTGGATAATGAGATAAGACTCATGAACAATAAAAGGAATCATTAGTAAATCCTCTTACTATGAAAGCCCCATCGGTAGAGCTGTCAATACTATAGTTTTCTTAGATCATCTATAAAATTATGTTTGTTTTTTTTTTTATAAATGTTCAAAAGATGGCCCACAGCGATGGCTATATCTTTGCCAATAGTCATCCGATTCTTGAGATAAATACCTTAAACGATTTGTGGATTGATTCTCTTTAAATCTTCATCAAAGTCTAGAAACAAAATATTTCTTAGATTTTTTGTCAAATTTCCTGGAGGATCCCTTTCAAAAATGGGGAAAGGGCATGGAGGCACAATTTAGCCCACAGGGATGGCCATATCTTTGTTAATAGTCATCCGATTCTTGAGCGGAATACCTTAAACGATTTGTGGATTGATTCTCTTTAAATCTGCATCAAAATCTAGAAACAAAATATTTTTTAGATTTTTTGTCAAATTTCCTGGAGGATCCCCTTCAAAAATGGGGAAAGTGCATGGAGGCACAATATGGCCCACAGCAATGGCCATATCTTTGTTAATAGTCATCCGATTCTTGAGCGGAATACCTTAAACGATTTGTGGATCGATTCTCTTTAAATCTGCATCAAAATCTAGAAACAAAATATTTTTTAGATTTTTTGTCAAATTTCCTGGAGGATCCCCTTCAAAAATGGGGAAAGTGCATGGAAGCACAATATGGCCCACAGCGAAGGCTATATCTTTGCAAATAGTCATCCAATTCTTGAGTGGAATACCTTAAACGATTTGTGGATCGATTCTCTTTAAATCTGCATCAAAATCCACAAACAAAATATTTATTAGATTTTTTGTCAAATTTCCTGGAGGATCCCCTTCAAAAATGGGGAAAGGGCATGGAGGCACAATTTGGCCCACAGCGATGGCCATATCTTTGTTAATAGTCATCCGATTCTTGAGCGGAATACCTTAAACGATTTGTCGATTTGTGGATCGATTCTCTTTAAATCTGCATCAAAATCTAGAAACAAAATATTTTTTAGATTTTTTGTCAAATTTCCTGGAGGATCCCCTTCAAAAATGGGGAAAGTGCATGGAAGCACAATATGGCCCACAGCGAAGGCTATATCTTTGCAAATAGTCATCCAATTCTTGAGTGGAATACCTTAAACGATTTGTGGATCGATTCTCTTTAAATCTGCATCAAAATCTACAAACAAAATATTTATTAGATTTTTTGTCAAATTTCCTGGAGGATCCCCTTCAAAAATGGGGAAAGGGCATGGAGGCACAATTTGGCCCACAGCGATGGCCATATCTTTGTTAATAGTCATCCGATTCTTGAGCGGAATACCTTAAACGATTTGTGGATCGATTCTCTTTAAATCTGCATCAAAATCTAGAAACAAAATATTTTTTAGATTTTTTGTCCAATGTCATGGAAGACCCCCTCGAAAATAAACATGTTTTTACATTATAGCTGCTTATGGTGGCTATATCTCAGAAAACAATTTTTTGATTTGTTTATCCGTATAGGTAGAGATATCAATACTTTAATCAGTTGTGTGTGTTTACTAAGATCCGCCTAAGAAGCCCTATACCTTAAAAACGATTAAATTTAAGCATACCAACCAAAAAACCAAACAACCCAAACCCCACACTTCGTAGTCATCTCTTTAAAAACTTCGGAATAATCAAATATGACATCTCATTCACCCATGGCGAAGTAGGTACTTGTTGGCGGATTGTTTGGATTAGATTGGATTGGATTGGATTGGCAAACTTACCCGTCAGCGTCACATTGACGTGCATGAGGCCAATGTGGGTGCCGATGCGCGCCGGTAGCTTCTCGCGTGAGAAGGCTTTGTAGGGTGCTATGATGGTTGCATGTGCCACATGCCACGCGGATCCCAAGCGGGTGACTGTTGAATAAAGATGTGTAGAGTTTCTCATGATATAGGCATTGTTGGTGTTTATCGTATGCAAATGGAATATAATATCGTGTTAATTGAAGGTCACTCTACTCACTTAGTATGACTAGGCCCACAAAAAGACTCAATGTGACTGTCGAAAAGGTTGTAAATTTCTGGGAACAAGAAAACATTTTAATCAAATTAGTATATGCTGTTATTAAAAGTGGCTAACTAACTAACTAACTTAAGCTCAGTGCTTGCAAGACTGTAATAAAAGTCAGAAGACAAGAAAAAAGGGCGCGCCAGGCGAAACGGGTTTACTTAAGTCACTCATTAGGTCTCTATATAGCCAAGATTTATCTGACATCTGTTGAAAACGTGCCAGCGATTAAAGCTGTTACCAGCAAGGGGCACAATTCAATTAAATAGACCAATAGTAGCGTGAGAAAATTTATTTCCAATCTAGCTAGCCATAGCTATAACAATATACATTTATGTATTTTTTATATTATAGATATTATAGTCATGACTTTTATAAGCCTTATTTCTTAATCTTAAGTCTTAAATAAATTGTATTAAAATACGAAACTCTCACCTGCTTCCGTACACCCGGAAAGATGACCAAAAATGCAACATAGAATGTCGCAAATAGCACTGATACGGCTACTATGGAGACGTCTCCGGTTACGGGTGTTCGATTTGAGAAGGAATATAGCGTTGGACCGCCATCGTCTCGAAACGCATCGAACCAGCCCTTCATGCTGGCCGCTGTTGGTTGTGTCGGGTTTTTGGAACCTATTTTAATGAAAATCACACCATTATATAAAAATATTATAAAAAATAAAAACAAGCTTATAATTAAATTGATTGATATTTATGCGTGGACTTTTTGCAAGACCACTCAATTAAAAAGATTTGCATTGCAAAATCATGTGAGACTCTGCGAAACTGATCTCATCGCATCTTGCAGGCACATGTATCTGCAATTCGTGACTAAGCTTTTAGGTAGCAGATACTTCAGCTTCAAGTGACAGGCAGCTCAATGAAAAATTAGTTTGGTAAACCGAAAAAAATATGCAAATAATTTTTTTTCGCAAAAACATCAACACCATACGCAACTACCCGGAAATGTAAAATAGAAAATGACTTGATAATCGACACTGAGTATGAAATTACGTTCTTTTGGGAACCGAAACAAAGGAATTTCAACGCTCTACAAAATTTTGTTTGAGATTAAAAAAAAAAACTCAACAAACCAGAAATAAGAATGAGACCTAGAACCGGATCCAACGACAAACAAATTAACAATAAAACCCAACGTTGAAATCTTCAGAGACCATGCGGGGGGCTCGAGCAATTAAGAAACCGAAACAGCAACTGAGACCGGCGCGAAATCATCATCATCGCCAGTCGGAGACTGCTGGCTGACTTCTGCTTCTGAAGCCATGACGTAGGCAAAAGTTATAATTAAGTGTCGATAAAATTGAATAAGTGGAAAATAATAATATCATGATCATGACGAATCTGTAAATACCCTTAAAATGGGAATGCTAATGAGATAGGGCAATGGTCTTCAGAGAGACTTCACACTTGCGCCAGCTTTTGGCCTACAATTGAGTAAATAAATCGATTTATTTACGAATTTAATCAAGACCTCCATTATACCAGGATTTGGCACAAGAGAATATTGCGCATACGCAACGTGTTACGTGCACTGGCATGCGGATGTGGGCATCAGCTTGGATTTTCCCACTCGGCCAGAGTTCTCTGTTGTGAAAGTCGATAGACCCCGAGGGTATATGAATAATACAAATAAGAAAGAGAATTATACATGATCGTATCGCTGCCCTGAGGCTATGGAGCTGGCTAGTTCCGCAAAGGTTTTATTGTTCTTATTTGCAAGTGGTTTTGGTTTCTTCATCAAACGGAGCTTAATGGCCTAACAAATCATCCAGCATTTGTTTCATAATTCAATCTCATTCATCAAGTCTTAAAGTTCACTTACCAAACTTGTCAAGTAGAAACCGGCATACAAAATTATTGTTTTAAAATCTTGTTGTTGGTTTTTTGTTTTGTTTTGTTTTCAAATTTGTTGTATTTTTTTTATAATCCAATTTCGTTGTCCAATTAATAACTTCTATCTAAATAATCAGCAAATTTGCATTTATGATTAATGATGAAAATAATGTAGCCAGTCAGATATTTGAAAAATACACACACACGCTTCTAAACTTGTTGAAATATTTCGTTGAAAAATATTCTTGTTTTCACAGCTGCGAACAAGCGTTTAATAATTTTTTATTTAAACGGTTTTTAGTTAGCAAAATTAGAGATTCTTTTTTGTCGTTTTATTATCAGAATTTTATTTATTTTTCTTTTCTGGCTTTAAAATACTGATACAGAATCAGAATGCTACCTTCTTTGATTCCAATTAAAATACACATTTATTCATAATTTAACTAAATTGATTTCGTTTAAAATTTATTTTAGTTCAGTTGAAACATATTTGTGCAATTCTTTAAACGCCAGAAAAATGTTTTTCCCAGCAATTGCATTTTTCTGACTCTGGGGCTGACTCGCTGCTTGCACCCCCATCGAGTGGACGCTTTTTGTTGTTGCAGCCTGCTGCAATGAACCGGTTTAACTAGTCATGTTCGCCGCCGCCAGACTTTGCACATAAATTGCATTTTATTTTTAAAACCCGGTAATAAATTGTTTCATTTATAATTAGAATTTTTCACCAACATGACAGCTCCTACATAACTATTCCATAAGAACTTGAACTAAAAATGTACTATTTTAATAGTAGGGTGTTCTCAACCTCCTCCTGTTAGAGTTGTTACTGGTTGACCTTCGCATATTTTTCGGACAGGAGTTGCTTTTAGCCATAATTTCCAATGCTTTATTAGCCCAATTCAGTTCTGCTGGTGTCGCTGCCAGCGTCGACGCTGGACTTGGCACCAAAACGTAAAGCTCAACGCATGGCAGCGGCATGTGGAAATCGTCAAGCACAGCACATTACGTTGCTATTACGTTGCAACAACAATGGCCGAGCCGACACCCAACAACAATGGGAAAAACAGACATTACAGTTACAAAATGAAACTGAAACCAAGCGGCAAACGGGCCAACAGAAGTCAAGTACAGTGGGTTTAGATTGGGAGATCAAAAGAAACAAGATCAGTTTGTAAGCCTCAGTGACTTAACCTACTTTATTATTTAATATACATATATATCTTTATTTCTATAAGTATATACATACATACATAGATTCTTAATTCCTATATGAAATATCTATAAAAAACAAAAACTTTATTTTCTTCTTGTATGATGCTTCACTGTATTAGCCCCATCTAAACGCCATATGCATCCCACTTGCTTTTCGTGCTCTCACTCTCACTTGCTCTCTTTCTCCTGCTAGTCTTCTCAGACCAACTGCAGCTTTTATTTTCAAGTCCAACGAAAGTGAAACTGCCACCGCCCCTCTTTCACCTGCCTCTTTTCGCCATCATTTTCACCTTTTCTCTCTCTCGCTTGCCGCTTGCTGCTTGCCTCTTGCCCCGCCGGTGTTGAGGAAATGAAGCAAACATGAGATTGACATAATCAACACGCAGCTGGGCCTCTGCAAAGACAACAAAAACAACAAAAACCACTGTGCTTTACAGGTTTTTGTGTCGCCTTGTTGGTATTGCTTTCGTCGTTGTTGTTGCTGTTATTATTTGTAGTTATATTTTTTTTAGGTTTTTTTTTTTTTTAAAAGCTAGTGGCGGCGTGTGTTCAATGAGCGCTGGTGCGTGTAAATATGTAAGAGTTGCCTTCAACCGGCTTTTTCATGCAATTTTTTTTTCTCTTCTCTACTGTGTTTTTGCAGTGTTTTTATTTTTGCGCTGGTCAGTGTGCGGTGTTGAATCATCTGGCCATATAGGAAATGAAACGGGAAGATGAAGTAATCTTTGGGGCTTGCCATGGAAATTACACAGTCTAAACGCATCACCGAAATCAACCTGATGCACACACATCTCACATCACAAATTCAGCCCCACAACCACCAACAATCAAAGGGCAAGAAGCAGAAAAACAAAGCCAAGTGTTGGGTAAGCTCCCCCCAACAGAAGGCAACGGGAAAAATGTGCATCACGTTTTTCCCACTCCCACCCACACTGTTACACACACACACTCTTCACACTCAAAAACACCCACAGCAGCGTACTCGTTCTCTTTCTGTTTCTATAATTTCTATTTTAAGATTTCAGTTTCAGTTTATTTTTAATTTTATTTTTTTCTTGATGTATTTCAGACACTTTTGATAAAAAAATAAATAATTTATGAGATCATTGTTAACAGTATTTTTGATTTTTTTAATCCAAAGCCATTGGGAAACATTTAAAATAAACAACTTTAAAGCCACAGGTTTATTTGTAAGTTATTTCAACGTTTTATGCACTTTGAATTATTTCGCACTTTTTTTTTTTTGTATAAAACCAAAATTGCAAAATTTAATGGTGGCCAGGTTGATTTACTTTTTATGATTATGGCCAAAAAATTTGCTCATTTTTTATTCACTTTAATTATATTTTATTTGCCCTCAAATTGGTTGTGTAAATGTGTAAACTAAGCCAACTTTTTTGTAGCACTTATGTAGTATTTGCTTTATATAGTTATTATTTATGCAAAAAGCAGCCATCACTATTAACTAGATGAGCGCCAAACTTTTTACCGTTAGTTTACCGTTTTTCAAAATTATAAGTATTTGGAATTGAGCGCGGCTTTTGCGGTTTTTTTTTTGTTTTGGCAAACTTTTATCGGTTTTAGGAGCCAGCGTTGAGCATGGCATAACAACACAAAACAAAAGCAAACAAATAAAAACACAATTCAATTTCGAATTCGGCGTTGTTGTTGGCTATTTATTGGCCGCATGCGCACCGTCCGCGTCGACTTACTTTTCAGCGTCCGCGGTTTATTCCGTTTGAAGAGTCTGACGGCTGAGCGTATACTTTTTCTTATAACTTTTTATCCGAGCGAGCACCACGATCTTATCCGGTTGCCATACCCGGTTGAGAGAGAGAGCTCCATCGAGCGGTGGAGCACAAAAGCTCTACAAAAAGCTCTTTTGGACCTCCCGCTAATTGCTGGATAACTGAGTGTGAATTTATGAAGCATTTCAGCGCAAAATCAACAAAAACTTGACAGGGAACCCGGGCATTACGACGAGGGCTGCTCCTGATCAGGGACCTTGTGCAAGTCTACTTTGGCATACTTTCCAGCCCGAAACTGGTTCACTTTGGAACGACCTCACACTATATAATTAATATTAATAAATATCCAAGATCAATATCAAATTGGCAGGTGATTCTGAGTAAAAAATACCTTTAAGTTTATTAATTGTCACTAATAAAAGACTTAACTAAAGCATAGCAACTAAGAAACCCACACAGCATTATTAAATTTTAAAAATTAAGTGCACCTGACCAGCTGCAGCGACTGTTGCTAATTGAATTAGCATCGAGAGCCGGTTAGTAATTAATATTTAATTTTCTAATTGAATTTTTACAAGCGACTACCGTGCCACGCACCATCCAAGACAGGCCAAGCCTGGCCAAATCGCCAAGTTAGCCTCCATGATCTCTGTTTATGTTCGTTTCAGCAACGATCTCATCTCGTAGATCTTGACAGTTGCAAATTTGGCTGGTCAACACGAAGACCACTTCTCTGTTGCATTATGCTAAGTTTCGAAGCACATACGTACTATGTATGTATTTTATGAAGTGCCAAATTGGCCATAAAACACATCAGCA